GAACATCCATTTCTGATCAATGAGAATAGAATAGAAAAGAAAACAAAATAGAATAGAATAGAATTAGAATAGAATAGAATTCTTTATTGGCCAAGTGTGATTGGACCCACAAGGAATTTGTCTTTGCTCTCAGCGTACAAAGGACATGTTCTGAAATACATAGGTCACAGGTTTAAAATTTAAGCATTTTAAATTGAGTCAGGAAACAGATTGGAACCCTGACTAATAGATACGAATTGGAAAATTCTGCCCCAAGTGAAGCTCCCAAACTCTCTTCCTGATAGGTTTCCTACAGAAACTGCTACCCTAAGCCAAATAAGGAGCCACTGTTCTTTCGATAATGATTACAAAACCTTAATTACAAACTCACACCCAATTTACACTAAATGTTATTTTTTAGCGCTTATGCCTGAAAAAGTGAAAGCAGTATCCAGAAGTACATCCAGGGTGTGAACTAATTTAGTCAAAAGGATGCCAAGGATACAATTTTCTTTTCTTTTTCCCATTCAGTCATGTAGGATTCTTGGAGACTGCTTGGACAAGTCCCTGCAGTTTTCTTGGCAGTTTTTACAAAAGTGGTCTGTCATTGCCTCTTACCTAAAAGGATACGGTTCAGATCAAAAAAGTCCCTGGTCTTCAAACCACTGAAACAGATCCCACCTCCTGTCTCAGTGTTTCATCAAGATCTAAAAGAAAAGGAGTCCTAAAAATGAATGCATAACTCTTCTTTTTCTTGGCTTCCTTTTAATTGATCTATCTGATCAATTGGCAAATGTATCTTCATTTCCTCTTTAGAAATGACAAAGGAATTATTGAACTTTCCAGCCTAGATAATAAAGCATGAATTCAAATATTTAAAAAGATCATAAAATATGTATGTACATTTCAGAAATGAGTTTCGCTGTTAGGTGTGAATTCTATCAAAAAGTCCATGTACACTTGTATAAAAAAAATTACAATTTGCTAATTTTATTAGCATCTTCCAAGTGAAACAATCCAGAACTATAACATATGATTAAAGTTTGAAGCCAGCACATCTGTAAAGTCACTTTAAAGATTGATGTTTCAGAACATATTATGAAATGTCAACATTTGGCATATTTGTTAATGCACAAATGTATTCCCAGTATGCATCCTAACATTGACATCATAAAACTATATATCTCTTCAAAACTTAGAAATAAAAATTCATGATAAATATATTGAAAAGCGCACAATGAAAGTTCTTAGGGGAATTATAAAGAAGTTCAAACTGATTTTTTAAGACATCTGTGTTGTAAGTATGAGTGGAACCCTTGGGAACAAGTGCAATAATGCATTGGAAGAAAATGCCTTTTATACTCGCCTTAAGTTGCTTAACAACAAGCTGTAAGAATAAACAGGGATCAATAACTCATAAAATTGGAATGACAAATTGTACAAACCGGTATCCTGTTTTTGAAATATTTTTATTTGCAGGCTGGTAATAATCACATTGTCAATTTTGCTCAATACTTCTTGTTTCTTGTGGGCTATGAGACTTTCATTTTATTATCCTTAAAACATTTTGCACATCTTTACTTTTGATTTTTATGTTCTTTCCATTATAGGTTATTATTCTGATAAAACTTTTTTTTGATAATTAATTTACTGAGGAAATGCACAAATATCCCAATCCAGGGGAGGGTTCCTGCCAGTTCTAACCTCTTCTATAGAAGAGATTCCACAAATCTACAGTGCCGTTTAGAACCAGTTCCAGCTCCCTCCCTCCACCCGTATGCACATCATCAAGATGAAGAGCAAGAGGATGAATTCTGGGAGTCCACAAGTCTTAAAGCTGTCAAGTTTGAACACCCCTGGGTTTTTTTTTCTAAAGGGTTAGGGTGCAAGGGTCTTGTAACTTGACAGATTTAAGACTTGCATGCTTCAAATGCCAGAGTTTCTGAGCCAACATTTTGGTTTCTAAGGAAGAGCGTTGTTAAGTGAGTTTCACCACATTTTACAAGTTGGCCACGCCCACCCAGTCACATGGATGCCAAGCCATTCCCACCCAGTGACATGGCCGGCAAGCCACTCCCATAAAGCAGCCCACACCTACAGAAGAGGTTCTAAAAAAAAATTGAAACCCACCACTGTCCCAATCCCAAAGGTTCTGTGCTGTATCTGGTTTCTGGATTTGTCTGTCTTATACTTCAGTGATGTTTTATGCTCCTCAGAACATAATATTGGAGACAATATTCATATATGTTCTATCTCATCACCTGAAGGTTGAGAGAAAATCATTAGGAGCCCCAAGGTATTCCCAAAAAGCAATGAAAACCATATTATAATATATGTCAAGGTGGCGCAGTGGTTAAATGCAGCACTGCAGGCTACTGCTAGATCAGCAGTTCAGCGGTTCAAATCTTACCGGCTCAGGGTTGACTCAGCCTTCCATCCTTCCGAGGTGGGTAAAATGAGGACCCAGATTGTTGGGGGCAATATGCTGACTCTCTGTAAACCGCTTAGAGAGGGCTGAAAGCCCTATGAAGCGGTATATAAGTCTATTGCTATTGCTATTGCTATATGTCACTGTTATACTGCAATATCTAAAGGGCTACCTAATCCTCTTGTGGAAAATCATTAATGAGAGATCCAACCTAGAACTAGGGAGAAATTTCTTGACACTGAGAACAATTAGCCAATGGCTTGCCTCCGGAAGTTGTGGGTACTCTTATCACTGAAGGTTTTCAAGAAGAAACTGGACAGCCGTTTATCCGGAATGGTATAGGATCTTCTGTTCGATCAGGGTTTGGACTAAAAGACCTCCAAGATCCCTTCCAACCCTATTATTCTATGTCCTGTGATCTTGTGAGTAAACAGACATTGAGACTGATAAAAAAATGATGAGCTGGATTTTCTCCAGGTAGCATTTTTAAAGGTTCAGAGTATAACTGCATTAAAATATGCCATTGATTCTCTTATAATATGAACAGGATACCCTTTTCTCATATCTCTTTACTAAAGATACATACCTATAGAATCGTTATTTACAAATTTCCATCAAGGATGGAATTTGGGGAACTTAACCATATTTATGAAGAATGTTGCTCTAAACATCCCTACACTGTTGAAAAAGACCTTTGTGGCTGTAACCTGGCTATAATTTGGGCACAGCATGATTAAGCTAAGAATTTTAGCATGCTTTCTGCAGTATGAGTCACAAGTCTGTTGCTTGGAGGAATTCTTTGGTAATTTCTACAAGCAGCTTTCTATGGGCTTTCCAGCTTCCAAAGCCCTCTCACAATCAGGACAAAAATGATGTTGATCATTCTTTTTTTTTTTTTTGGCAAATTGATATTCCAAGGCAGTCCAAGACCGACAAATGTGCAGATGCAATATTTGGCAAACGAAGCTTTTGTGTCACATGTGCTCCCACCTGGACATAGTGCTGCTTCACTGTCTGAAGGATAAATAAATAAGAATGCCTTCTGGAAGTCCTGCACAAATTCTTTTTGTGCATCCTTTTCAGGATTCTTGGAGGTCATTCTTCCATTTTCTCCCCAGTCCAGATGCTGATTAGTGGAAGGCCAATGCTTTTATTCTCACAAATTTCTGTGTATTGTTCTATGATCTATATAAAGCAATGGCAAACATTTCAGAATAAAATTATATGAGGATTCAAATTTATCCCCCTTCCAATTCATTTTTAAAAAATTGCCCACAAATCATGAAAGACCACTCTTCTTTCTCAATAGGATGCTGAAACCCGTTTAAGTCTTCTGAAATTTGAACATTTTCACACACAAAATCTCATTCAAGAATATTGTAATCTTTAAAGCTACTTTTTAAATTTAAAATATTTTATTTGCAAAGTTCATAGGTACCCTCCTAACTCCTGATTTGCAGTGTTTACTGTACTGTATTGATCTATATTCTTGACAAGTATCTATAATTCAAATATAAATGTTTCACCTAGATTCAGGAAAGAGAGATCCATTTGTTTTTCAATTTATCTAAAGGAAATGTCTAGATAAAGAGAAAAATCCACAGATGTTTGGCCTTGCTGGTTGAGTCAATGAGGAAACGCTATGCTACCCAAAGCATAACAGATCAGAATGCTCTTGGCAAGTCCTGGAAAATAAACATTTATGATTAGAAATTTATTGCCCATTTGGGATTTTGTAACAAACTTTGTTGTTGTCAGGGTTCCAAGTAACACCCCCAACCAAAGAAGACTCNCCAGCCAACGTCCCTATGTCAAAAGTCCAAACCACAAGGTTCAATTAAAGTTCGCTAAAGACACGTAATCCATACCTGTGTCCCAAGAACAAAAGGAGAAGTAAGACCCTCATCTACTTATAAGGCTTTTCCCCCAAAATAACCAATAAGAAATGAGTTAAGTAATTCCGTGTTGCGCCGCTTTTGAGAATGTATAAGAATGCGTGCTCCGATAATGAAGGTTGTTCAGAATTTCCAATGCTAGCTATGTGTTAGCTTTCTGAACCTGGCTGCCAAATTAATCCTTCCTGTATCCTGAGAAGTCTAAGCCTGTAATTTTCTGCAACAGTTGCTATAAGACAGTTGTTGTGTACCAAACATTTCTGTGGACACTATGATTATTCTTAGTAGTCTTTTTGCTATAGTATGGCAAGTGCTAAATTTATATCCAGTATATCATAATGATACGATCTACAGGACCCTTGATTTCCCATTTCCCCAGTTCTTTGGGGTTAAGCAGAGAAAGGGAACACTCAAAGGGACATCTTTGCAACAGGGACTCTAGCAGATCAATTCATAGATAACAGCTTCAAAATATATTTTTTCTATTTCCTAAGGAATACCAATATTACAGCTGTATAGATTTGTGTTATCTTTATCTAAATTGGGTTTTTAATGGAGTCAGTATTACTTAAATAGTGTTAGTGGACAAATACATTTTACTTACAAGCAACTTTTTCTCTAGCAAACCTCCTCTAGCAAAGTCTAACATTTGTTGTAGATATTACCAAATTGATTGATTGCTTTTTTTTTAATTACAGGGTTGTTCTGGTTGTGGAAAATGTGACTGCAATGGAGTAAAGGGGCAAAAAGTAAGTATTCTGTATGTACAGTATTTTTCCTTCCTTGTGTTTTTACCAATTTTGAATAAATCAGAATAAATGAATTTTAATACTATCAGGATACCCAATTTGGGAGGGGAGATAATATTTTGCTATGTGGAAGTAAAAATTGGACACAATCAAATTGGAAAACACAGGGGAGCAAAGATTTAAGATAAAACTGTGATAAATGACTGGATTGTTGAAGGATTCACCTCTCTCCACCAACAAACATTTGAAATAAAGTTTTGCAATGACCTCTGAAATGACTTGCTTTTGAATGCCTTGAATATATATAAGAACAGGCTTTTTCTAATATTAATTCTACAACCCTGAGAAACTATATTACAAATCTCAATTTTAATGGTTATAGGAAGGACATTCTTTGAGGATCACATCCACTTTATTCTCCTGGGAAAACAGTTTTAGGAAATCTCTACTTCCTTATGGACATATTACTAAAAATCCTTGCCCATTTATAGAAATGCATAAAACAAAAGTTAATACTGATGTTTAAACCGTTTATTAATAAAATTAAGCAGTCAGCTGAAAAGTCCTATCAGGTTCACTGAACGGAGCTAGTATTTGAGTAAGACATATATCAGTGTTGTTTAAAAACATTCTGTGAATCATACATCTTAAATTTTAGAGTATTTTATGTCCATTCCTGTGAACAACTAATTCAAATCTTTGAATGCATGGAGGGATGGCAGAAAAGAAAGTTATTTTTAATGCTGGAGGTACCAAGATTGTAATCTTGAAATCTGAACTTCTTGAATCTTGGTCAAAAAAGCAAAGGGCTTAATGGAGTCCCAACCTTCCACTTACTGACATCCTTAGTATTAATTGTGACCCACCCTATAAGGAAAAGATTTCCCTTGCACATATGTACTAGTAACCCTATAGTGGTTGCTAAACACACCATCCAAAGGCAAAAGCTATATGTTAAACTAGGCCCATCTCATAGATTTCTAGGATTAGCCTAGAACAGTGATAGCTAACCCTTTTGTCCTCGTGTGCCAAAAGCACATCCATGTGACAGCGCACATGTACTTGCCGACACCCATAATGCAATGTGAGTGTGACACCCTCTGTGCACCCCACCCCCATAATCATGCACATGCCCTCCCCACGCATGCATGCCAACAACCCCGCGCAGTCCGTTTTGGGCCTAGCAGGACTCCCTGAAGCCTCCTGAGCCAAAAATGAGGCATGTGGTGGGGGGCGCACCACAACTCCCATGGCCCGTTTTGGCGTCCCTGAAGCTTTCTGGGTCCAAAAACAGGGCATGGGGTGCCACACACTTCTGCACTCCCCCTGTGCATGCGCATGCATCTCCCATATGCGCAACAGAGACCTGAAAATCAGCTGGCTGGCGGGAGGCACTTGCGCATGCACAGTGGAGCTGACCTGGGGCGATGACTTGCATGCCCACAGAGAGGGCTGTGCATGACACCTGTGGCACATATGCCATAGATTCACCATCACGGGCCTAGAATCTTATGAAAAGTGGCAAATGTTGTGATAGAACTTTCCTTTAGCCCCATAAAGATGAATATATAAATTTGTAGTTTAAATTGTGAGTGGCTGAAATGGGATAGAGATTGTATTATTTGGCCTTGATCTAAATATGGGATTCTTAACAAACTGCCTTATGTTGATTCAGATTAACTGTATGTCTGGACTACATTTGTCTACTGTATCCCCATGATGGTGACTCTATGGCACATGTGCCAGCGGTGGCATGCAGAGCCCTCTCTGTGGGCATGCACACCATCACCAGCTGCTCTTCTGGGTCCCGTCGCACGCATGCACACCAGACAGCTGCCCCAGCACACGTGCGCACAGCTGCTCTCTTCTGAGGTCCATCATGTGCATGTGTGCCGGCCAGTTGGTCTTCACATGAGCCTAACCCTAACCCCCTAAATAATCATACAAAAAATTAAAATTAAAAAAACCTATGAGTTTGGTTAAGGTGCTGGCCTAGAAACCAAGAGACTGTGAGTTCTATCTAAACCTGCCTTAGGCATGAAAGACAGCTGGTGACCTTGGGCCAAGTTAATCTCTCTCAGCCCAACTCAACTCGCAGGGTTTTTTGTGGAAGGAGGAAGCATTATGTATGTCTGCCACCTTAAATTACTTATAAAGTAATGAAGGTGGATAAAAAATAAATAAATAAATCTAAAACCATATCATGTAACCATTTTATAGGCTCTGCACCACCTCCCTCGGGCTAGATGGCAAAACTAAATCTTCAGTCTATTCTAGAACGCCAGCAAGGTTGGGCCAGTCTGATCTTAGGAAAATGATATTCCAGAGGGCAGGTGCAGTGGCTGAAAAGCTCTCCTCCTGGGCCCCATTAGGCGGCACTTTCTTGTGGATAGAATCCACAACAAGGTCTTTATGCCAGATCCAATGGGATAGATAAATGTAATTGGGGAGGGGGTAGTGCTTCAAATAACCTAGCACCATTCCATGTAGGGCTTTATAGGCCAGCACCAGCATCTTAAATTGATAACCAATGCAGCTCTTAAAGCAGAGGTATAATGTTTGCACATATGAGCCCTCACCCCTGCATTTTTCATCAACTGAAGCTTCTAAATTACTGATAACTTTCCAGTGTTTAGGTGGATTTTCAAAATAAAAAAAAATGACCTTTAGCACCAGGACCAGAAAAGTCCTCCATCCGAAATATAATACCTTATCTCCCAATTTGCAACCAAATCATGTTGAATCTTGCAATTTGAGAAATAATATCAGATCTGCCATCATACCACTTCAGCCTTGCTATGCTTTCATGGCATCCTGCCATAAAAAAGGGGGAAGGAGAATGGGGGGAAAATAGGGAGAGAGAATGACAAGAACCAAAGGTGCCAATCAGAGACAATGGCTAAAAAATCCAAGGGCACAGGCCTGAAAACAGAATGCAAACACCCACCAAAAAGGCACCAAACTTTAGAAGTGTAACCAAAACACCTAATTTGAATACCATTGGACACTAACGAGATGGCCAAAAGGGAAGAAAAAATCATGAGATTTACATGGGAATATTCAGATCTATCTATGCTTACCCTAACCACTTGGTTTTAGTAAAAGTATACTTTTTTCTTTTCAAATGGGGTTGAGGGTCTTTCTTTTAAAAATGCACAAGTTAAGACAAGGCTGACAATTCTATTTTTGGTACACAATTTAATAGTTACTAGTTTAACAAATAATAAAACTTTATCTCTGCTGGAAAATTACTGTAGGTAATTTCCTATTTAGTTTGTACCCAGCACATTCCCAGTCAACCTTTAACTCGAAATCAAAGGAGGCACACAGACCATTCAGTACAGCTAACAGAAAGATATCTTGATATTTAATAAAAATCAGCAAAACATGCAAAAGCTAATTGACAAAGCAGGCAAAATCAGAGGGTGAGAGAGACTTCAAACAAGAGGTAAGAAATTATAACAATAGGCATAGTATGTTTCAGAACCACTGGAAACAACCTCCTGTGGATAAATAGCATGGATAATGACCTTGCTCCATCTAAAACCTTTTTATATACATAATAGCAGCAGAATAGAGGTAGAAAGTAGAACACTGGTGATCTTTCTGTTCTGCATTATTAGAAGAAATGACCTTCTGGGTTCAGTTCCAAGTGGGGAAAAAGACACTGAAAACGTGGAGGCTGCTTGGAAAGATGGTTTGAGGTCCTGGAGAAAAAGGTGATCACATGCTTCCAGATGTTAGGTGAAGAAGATGAAAGAGAGCGAAGAAGGGGCTTACTGGGTTTTTTATACTCTGTTTGGCCCCATCTCTCTGTTTCCTGTTCCTGTGTAAGAAATGTTTTCTTATTGGTTGTCAGACTCCCATGGGACCATGCAGAGGCAACTCTCTAGGCCAGTGATGGCAAACCTTTTTTGGCTTGTGTGCCAACAGCAGGGGGAGCTCAGGGGGGGTCATGCACAGGTGTGCCATACCCATAATGCAATGTGCGACCCCAGCATGCGCGCATGACCAGCACTCCCATTTTTTGCATGCTTTTTCATCCTCCCCAGGTTCCAGAGGCTTTATAGGAGCCCTCTGGAGGCCCTCCGGAGACTTCAGGAACTTCCCTGAAGCCTCCGGAGCTCAAAAACCTGGCCCTATGGGAAAACCAGAAGTTCGGGAATTAACTTCCGGTTTGTCATAGGGCTCGTTTTAACCCCTACCCCCGGAGCCTTCAGGGACCTTCCAAAGACTTCCCTGAAGGCTATGTAGAGCAAAAAACGACCCTACAAGCAAACCGGAAGTCACTTCCAGTTTGCTCATAGGGCCGATTTTAGCCCTCCGGAGCCTTCAAGTACCTTCAGGAGGCTTTCCCGAAGGCTCCGGAGGACAAAAAAGAGCCCTACGGACAAACTGGTTCTAGTTTGCTTATAGGGTGGTTTTTTGCCCTCCAGAGCCTTCAGGGAAGCCTCTGAAAGGCCCTCGAAGGCTCTGGAGGGCTAAAACCAGCCCTACGAGCAAATCGGAAATACTTCTGGTTTGCTCATAGGGCCAGTTTTTTGCGCTCCGGAGGCTTCAGGTAAGGTCCTGAAGCCTCCAGAGGGCCTCCAGGGGATAGGGGAGCTGTTTTCACCCTCCCCAGGCTCCCCAGGTTTTGTTAGGTAAATAGGCTGGCCCAGGCTTTTTTTAATGACCCATTAACAAAGGTGGGGGGCTATTCATTAAGAATGAATCTGTTTCCTGCCTAAAACATGTTTCTCCATTTCTGATCCAGGGAAATATAATATTCTATCTTTTCAATATTTCCCAGGATATTTCATTTCTCTATGAGAGGGGTGGGTGCTAACTTCCTACAATATGAAGGAGACAATTTGATGAACAGGGATAATGTATCCTATAATCTAATGGGTTTTTATTTTTAAATCTCTGGTTTTTCTGTTAAATCTAATCCATTAGGACATTGCCTGTCTATCATTTTAAAAAGTATTTCTACAATTAATGACAGCATAAAATTTGTT